TAACACTAAGCTTTGACTATCATAGGTAATTATTTATAATCTGTACTACATTATACATTACATTTTTAAATGAGCTATACAAACAAAATACCTAAACAAGAGAAATATAAATATCACAAAATTGACCTTAAATTGTATCAACAAATGAAAATCCACTCCAAAACAAAGTATTCATATCTACACCATAGCTTTCTGTTATATTCCATAGCAGTTTTAACACTAGAAGGGAGGCTTAGGTACATTTGACTATTAATTTATTATGCTGTTTATTGATTCAATAAATGTTTACTGAGCATCTACAGTATCTCATATTTTAGTAGAATATAGTGCCAAGTCCATAAAGAACCAAACTAAACACAGCAAGATGATTGACATAAGTAAGCATTGTGGCCATGGTGCAGTTGGTTAAGGAAGGCTCTGTGGAGGAAATGGCAGTAGCCATACAAATGGGAGTAAAAGAAGTAGCGCAGAGACTCCTGTGTTTCCACAGGTAACCAGTACCGTAAGCAATGGCACTTTTCTCAGGGACAAGTGGGAGCTGGGGAGCTGGGCCCTTAGCTCATTTCCAGTGCAGTTATCTTGGTGATAATTGTACCTGTGTGGAGAGATGTTCACTGAGTTAATACGTTATATGTCAAAATGCCCTGCAAACATGTTCAGTTTCCATAGCTTACAGTGTTTAACACAGGGCTAGCTCCTTTGAAGGTTAAATGATAAATACATTTAGTTATTTGAGTTCTTATGAGATTTTTTTCACCTAACTACAAAAAGAGAAAGTGGGTAAAACTGAAAAAATATATCATCTTGGAGCAGACAACCTAGGGCTGCCATCTACTGGCTGACATGGTCATTGTTTGGTCTTGATCAAGACAAGCAGAACTTTGAAACAAAGTTCTAAATTGGGATAATTGAGGTAAGATTTGTGGATAGGAGTAAAAAGATTGAATTTCCATGATAATAGTTGATGATAGAACTGATGATTCTCAAGTCCATTAAGCAGGGCTTACTGAATCCCAGGAAATGGTTTACATGTCTGACCACTGAAGGAATTTTTGTCTCAAAAAATCCTCTTTTCTCCATATATAAATATGCATAAGTAAGTTCTGATAAATCTTTTCCTACTTACTACTGAATATATAGTGTATACTTTTGTTTTTATTTTATTTCCTTGTTATCACGACTCTCATCCTGTGTATGTTAATGCATGATACAGACACAACAGCTCTCTCGAGAAACTTCAGATTGAAAGCCAAGTGTGAGAGTAGTGAACTGGGCGCTTGCCACTCTTCACCCTGATTTGCTCATTTGTTTTTCCCTTGCCTGATTTTGGAAAAAAGTATACTCTCAAGGCGAAGTCCTGTGAGCCCTCCCTGCACCCACGGTGGCATGTTGACCGGTGTGCTCTTGGCAAGCTCTCACTCGAGCAACTTTAGCTATAGAGAGTTCAAGGGTGTGCGGCATCACTGTCATGTACAGAAGACTTTATGTTACAGCAGTTCTCGGGATTATCTGGCTTTTTACAATCTTTCTGCCTGCATTTCTGCAATGTTGCCTGATCTTTTATAGATGTCACAGATGAGGATTGGCACTTTGGATTCACCAAATCTGCACTTTGATCAATTATGAATTTCTGTAACAGCCTCTGTCCATGGCAGAAATTAGGAATGAGAGCTTCCCTGATCTATGGAAACAGAGATAAATATTTAGAAGATGGCTGGATGCTATGTCAATTTAGCAAAATGGTAGTAATATTTTCTTCTCTAAGGTCTGTGACTTTTCTATCCATGCTTGCCTAGGTGTACAGTCATAGGCATGGGTCCTCCCAACTGAGCATGTCTCAAGTCCAATCAGATGGCTGTTAGTTATCCCCATGATATTAGTGCCCCAATTGTGATGTTGGGCATATCTTGTTGGGTTGATCATTACTGTAATTTATAGGATTAGCTATAAGCAACTGATGATTAGTGATGGAGAGGGAGCCAGTTTGATGCAGGGTGAGTGCCTGATAAATTGCCTATGCTCAAGTGATCAGCCCTGTACTCCCAAATACAGGGTTCATAATAAATGTATTCAGTAGAAAACACACCCACACACCTACACACAGACACAGACACACATGTGCGCACATACCAGGACATAAAACAATAATTACAAAAGAAAATGACATAAAATTAAGAAGGGCTGTGGGAGAGCTGTGGAAGGAGTTAAAAGTGGGAGAGGCTTATAGGAAGATGTGTTATATTATACAGACAGATGATAGATAGATAAATAGATAGATGGATGGATGTTTAGATAGATAGATACTTAGATAGATAGATACATAGACAGATACATAGATAGATAGATAGATAGATAGATACATACATACATACATACATACATACATACATACATACATACATAGATACATAGAGTAGCAGTTGTTTCCCTGGAAATAAAGCAAAACACTGGTGTAACATTTTGAGAAAAGATAGCAACTCTTACATCAAAAGCAAATTTGACAAGTTTATGAATACTTATCAAGATTGAAGAACATGGTCCTAACAAGAAAGCACTCAGCCAGACTGGGGAGCTGCTTTTATTGCATACATATTTGTCCAACTATTGTGAACTTTGATTATTGTCCTGCATAAAAGACGAGAGGGTAATTTTTTACAGAAATCCTGCAGCCCTTGCTACAAAATTCTGAGTTAATAAAAAGACAATAATCAAATTAATTGGTATGTTTCAAAATAGCATTTAAATAAATAACATTGACTAGCATTGCTTTTGTTGTAGAGTGCAAATGTGAAACTTAAAATAAATAACCAAACTAAACAAAAGAGTGAATTCTTTTTGTCAAAGGGCTATATTTAATTTACTTATATCCAGTATAGTTTTTAAACTTACATTGAGGGTTTTGTAGACAGAAAAATGTCTCATTTATATTTGATATTTACAAAAAATGAAAAGTATGTTATTACAATAATACATATAAATATTTCTTTTAAAATGTGAGTTTGATTTATGTTTCATTAACCTATTTCTAACTGTAATACAATAATTTTTTGAAAATTAATAGTTTTCCCACATTGGAAATAAACATCTTTGTAAGTCACCTTTAAAAACATTCAAAGATTTTATGCTAGACAAAAAAGCTTTAGAAATTCTGAAAGAAATCTAATAAATGAAGCTTTCAGCAGTCTCTCCAAACTTGTTAAATTGAGTTAATTCATTTGGTCAAATTTTTATACTGGAAGCATTATCAATGTTAACTCCAAAACTGATGGCATAAATTAACATATTAAGTTAGATAAGCAATTACTACTGTGAGTTTTCTTATACTTCAAGGACTTTAAATCACAAGTGTGCACATATGAATACAGTCTGAATTTTCAGGATTCAGAAAAGCATCAATAGGGGCTAGAGAGATGACAGAGTTGTCAGTAAGGTTTGCACACGAGTATGAGGACCTGAGTTTGATCCTCTTTCTCTAAACAGTCCAGCATGACTTGCTCTTTCTAATTCAGGTGTGAGGAAGCAGAGATGGAAGGTCATAGGGTTAAATGGTCATTTTAGCCTAGCTGAACCAGTGAGTCCCAGATCCCAGTGAGAGAAATTGTCTCAAAAGAAAGACAGATAGAAAAGGAAGGAAGCAAAGCAGGAAGGAAGAAAGGAAGGAAGGGAAGGAAGGAAGGAGAGAAAGAAGGAAAGAAGGCAAGAGAGAAAGAAAAGAAAAAGAAGATCCATGAGGAATTGCACTCAAATTTGACCCTTGACTTCCACATACTGGCAAACACATTTGCAGCTTCACCCATGTGAACACAGATATACGTATATATATATATATACGTATATGCATATATATGTATGTATGTATGTAATATGTGTATATATAATGTGTATGTATATTTGCATGTACATATATACATATATGTGTGTGTATGTATGTATAACATATGCATGCAGAAAAAAAGCAATGATGTATTTAAGTATTGTCTCTGTGTTTATTTTCAAACCCAGTTTCTGGGTACACAGTAAAGAAATAATTTGACCTCTCCAAATGAGGGTCCTATTTCCAGAGATCTGCTGTGAGCATTTGCTTCTTTGCCAGGGACATTCATCTGGGACAGAGCAGCACAGCAAAGCTAGGCATTCCCAGAACAGGCCTCCTGGGCCCAGTGAGGCACAATGATTACACTCCAATTGCCGGGAGGAAGAGCATTCAAGTCCCCATGCATCATGGGTGACAACATTTCTGAGGTTCCGGTTATGCCCTCACTATTTGTTTAAAAGGAAATTTGTGCTCTCCTCCAATGTCTTTGTTTCTATCTCTAAAAAGACATCGTGGTTTCTTAATATCCTACATAAACTGAATAATCCCAAGACCTGGTTTTCAGTTGGCTACCTCTCCTCATGCTGCAGCTAAGGTCGGTCACTCTGCTGACTGACTCCAGATAAATCCTGAACGTTTTTCACAGTCAGTCTCCTCTGATTCAGCTGTAAGTTTACACATTAGACAGCTGATTGGAGCAGACATGACTTTGCTAGACTTCACTTCCCGTGGTAAAATCGTGTTAAAGGCGTCACATTTGACATAAGAAGCCCTTGTGTCAACTAACCCACTGTAATACCCGATACAGTGATAACGATAAAACACAGTTGGTTTCAAGATTGCAAGCAGTTTTCTAAAATAAGATGAACCCGGCTACATCACCAAATGTGTGCCAACATCCACCCATCCACCAGTGCGTGCCCCCCACCCCCATGCTTTTCTCCTAACAGCTCTGAGTGTGCTCGTTTTCTCATTCAGGAAGGAAAGGAGGAGGCTCAGAGTTCACAGCTGAGAGGCAACAGGGCTTGATGCACTCCTGCGTGGTTGCATCCCTCCCACCCTTAACAATAGCTCTGAGGGCCTCAAGCAGAAAGTGTGTTAAACTGGTATGCTTCATGTAACAATGGCTTCTACCTTCAGATTGAGAAGTAGGCATTGACTTATTTTTCCCTGTGCAACCACACAGGAAACGAACTGTTTACTGGACTCTACAGTGACTACTGGACCAGAGACTCTGCGATCTTCCGCAGTCTAGGGAAGCTTGGCCATATTCGCACGGAGCACGATGACGAGAGGCTGCTGAAAGGTAGAAATGAGAAGACAAGAGCTTGAAAATCAGCATGGAAAACAAGCCTACAGTCCACGGCTACGTCTGCCATCTTGATAATGAAAATACAAATACAAAATAGTCTTGATAACTACCGAATTCTCGCATCCAAAATACATATATGTGTTTATCATTAATACGCAATAAGTTTTTTTTTATAGCAATTCTTAGATATCAATTGCTAAATGAAACAAGAAAATTGAATACATGAAAAGTAAGGATTAATAACTGGCATCCTTGCTGCTGTAGGCATTGTGTGTTTTGCTTGCTTTAATAGCATCATGTTGGGGGGGGGGTCACTAGTGGCTAGATGATGATAGTTATCTGATTTTCAATAATTTTCTGAGCCTCCCAAGATGCTTTGTATTTTCTCACAAACTGATGAGACTTAAACAATCTGGTGATAAATCGTTTGTCAATTTACACCATCACATCTATAATTTTTTCCTTTTTCATTTGTTTTGTCTGTAGAACCAAAATTTGTAGGTTCATACATGATCCCTGATAATGAAGACAGAGATGACAACAAAATGTACTTCTTTTTTACCGAGAAGGCTTTGGAAGCAGAGAACAGTGCCCACACAATCTACACCCGAGTGGGAAGGCTGTGCGTGGTGAGGATGGCGTGTCTATACACTACTTACGTCACAGTGCATACCAGACCCAGACCTCTCACACACTTGTTCTTTATTGGTTCATTTTAGAGTTTCATACAGCATGCTTTGATCTTATCTGTCTCCCCCCACTCAACTCTTCCATAATCCATATCCTTTACTTACCTTGTTGACACTTTGTTCTCTACTAGGCTTCTACTTTAAATATTTTGTAGTATTCTATAGACTTTCCTAATTTGGTATTTACTAAACCAAGCTTCCTGTGTTATGTTCATAACTTCACTGTTAATGAAATTGTCACTATAAAAGAGACTTATCTTTGATGAGATTTCTCATTTTCAAGTTGTGTTAGGAAATAATCTACAATTAGCATTTCTTCCCAAATAGGATTTTGTTCTATTTTTAAAATATTATATGTTCATTTTTATGTGTGCATATCTCTGTGTGTATGTTACTGCTCATGCATGTCATCCATTTTCATGGATGTTAGACATATGTTTTCCTTTGCCATCTTGTGAGTCCTGGGAAATGAACTCAGATCTTCTGGCTTTGTTGCAGGTGCCTTAATCTTCTGAGCCATCACAGTGGCCCAACACTATAGAATTTTTAAATTGAATTTAAGCATTTTCTTATTTTTCACAATCTATTTGCTATATGTACCTGGGTCTCAAAAATCAGTTGATCAGTTCTATAGAAAAAAAAAAAAACAACAACAACAACAAAAAAGCAGAAATGGAAAGATACAGTTGTTTCAGCATGTAAGAAGAAATTTAATAATAATAACACATATAGTATATAGACACATGCAGCTGAGAATGACCTTTACCTGTTCCCAAGGAAAGGTATGATTCATCCAAAATTTTGAGACAATTATACAATGTATGAACAAATAATAAGCAAGGTGACTACATCATAAAGCCAGTGCTTCTTCTAGGAGAGAAAATCATATTAATATGTGAAATAACTAGAAAATATATTGAGAGCACTTGAATTAAAGTACTACACCAAGGGGCTGGTGAAATAGCTTAGCAGCTAAGAGCACTTGTGGCTCTTATCATGGAGCCCATCTCACTTCCCAGCACCACATCAAGCAGTTCACAACCTCCTGGGACTCCATCCCTGGGGAGCAGATGCACTCTTCAGGCTTCTGCTACACCGGCATACCCATGGTGCTCATACATATACATATACTCAGTATCCCCTCTCCACATGTGAAACTAAAAATGAAAGCAATCATTAAAAAAGTACTACACTAATAAGTCAAAGCAAGGGAGAAGTGAGAGGGAGTTACTTGTAATATTATCTTAGAATTTTGCTAAATGTACACACACACACACACACACACACACACACTGCCCATGTGACCATATTAAACCTTGCTTTGTAAATGTTCTGTAAGCATCTCATTTGTCCATTTTGTTTTTTCCAGAATGACGTGGGGGGACAGAGAATACTGGTGAATAAGTGGAGTACGTTCCTTAAAGCAAGGCTGGTCTGCTCTGTACCAGGAGCGAACGGAATCGACACATATTTTGATGAGCTAGGTAACTATTGCTGGAGGATCTACATTTTACTCTTCTGTGTGTGTTCATGCTCCCCTATAACTATCACACTCTCCAGAATGTAATGAAAAATGTCTGCTGCAAGGGTTTGGCCTCTATGGACCAAAAGGCAAGTTTCTATCTATTCACTTTGATCCAGTCACCTTGTAGAGCAGAAGAATTGACAGAGACTCATCTCACTCCCATAGAGGAGCACTGCAGGGACTTTCTCTGCCACTCAGCACAAGTCCCCACCCAGAGCAAAGCAATGATTCATCCTTCTGTCCCGGTCACAGCTGTAGACCTGGAAACTGGGTCCGAAAATGTATAGTTCTGGATGATTTTATGTAAATGTGATTTTTTTCCCATGCAAAGAAGGTTAAAATACTACAGGATGAAATGGTCTTTTGTTCTTTCAGAGGATGTGTTTCTACTGCCTACTAGAGATCCCAAGAATCCAGTGATATTTGGACTGTTTAACACTACCAGGTAAGAAGTTTATAGTTAACAAAACAGTATGAAAGAGAAAAATGTATCACTGCAGTACCTTTCATGGTGCACATATCTCAGACACCGACCCCCATCATCAGTCCCATCCTCTTCTTTGTAAGTGTCCAGCTTCCCTTGCTTTTCCCTGACTGCCAATGGCCTTCATTCATCAAAGTCACAATAAGTCTAGTCCTTATTGTTCTGTTCATAGCATCCCATCATTCCTTTTACAACTGTTCACTCCCCTAATCCCTTTAATTACTTATGTACAATCATTTGACATGTTTTTTTTTAATGAACCAGTTATAAGATAAGCACTTCCATACTATCAAGTCTAGGGTAATTCTTTTATTTATTTTTCAGATTAAAAATTTTAATCCAGGCTTTCAAAGTGTTCTAATAACTGTTTAGAATTAGTTTTGGGGTACTTTTTCTCTGCCTACTCCAATGGTTATAATAACTTGACAGATCTCAGCGTTCACATTGGCAGTTCTTAGCATTGGATCTCCCCCCAAAACCCCACCCCTTTATTCACTGTTACTACTGGACATGACTTTCCCTTCCAACATAGGTTTAGATCAGTTCTTTGATACTTAGCACCCATGTCCATGAATGTTCCCAAGCCGTTAGTCAGGAATAAGCCCTCACACCTTTGTTTTTGTATCAGCCTCCTACGTAGACTCATACTGAGCACACACTTGTCATCTATGAAATGTGATGGTCAAGTTTAAAGCTTAGCTATATGTTATTTCTCCCATTACCTATGTATGCCTATGGAAGAGTACTGTAAAGTAATATTTTTCATGTGTTGATACATTAAATAGAAAATATTCCTAGAACTGATTTGAGTTGAAAGTTTACATATGTAATTTCCTGAGTAGCTTTCACAATGAAGCCAATAGCACCAAGAATACAGAAGGAAGTGCCTCAGTATTTCAACAGAGATAGATTGATGTCACTGGTTCTCATCATCAATGTGTTAACGTTAAATTACATTAGGACCTTGTAGCTAGTGCTCACTTAAAGTCTACCCTCAGTTTTGTTAAGATTTCAGCAGGTGATTTTTATTGGTCACTTTGAATTAAAGCACCTAGAAGCTCTTTGAACAAGTATCTTGTTTTAACCAGACCTTTTTTTCCCCTCAGAATAATATGGGAACAATTCTTTCCGTTATCTGTACTTTGATGTAAATTTACAAAGTTAATATATATCGGTATTCACCACAGTACACAGCCCCATTTTACTTCAGTTTTCTTATGCCAGCGAATGGTTTTTGCATCATGTGATAATTCTTTAAATAATAAATTTGGCCTATGAGGTAATCTGTATTTTTCTATTTATTAAAATGATCAGTTTAAAAGCTAACCTCCTAAATGATAGCATATTGGATCATTCAGAGAAATCAAAGATATGATTTCCTTCCATGATTTCAACTTTGTTCAGTTTTTATATAAATCTGAGAGGGGAAAAAAGCTCCCAGCTGTACCTGCCATGCAGCTTGACATTTGTAGAACGGTGATCAAAGGTTTACTGCCGCTTCAGCTGAGACTGTCAGGTTTTGCCCAGTATCACAGGCATTTCCAATTGCTTCAAGGTGTGTTATAAAAATGTGTGAATTGATGTCCTAAGACAGTAACATGACTGCTGTTCTACAGCTGGCCGAGAGTGCAGGAAATACATTTACACGAAGTTTACATTTTATTAAAGCTTCTTCACAAACATCATTCATTTTAATTCACATAATATGGAGGCTACAAAATGGTGCACTTCTTTTAAATGATGGATCTGTGTTCAAGTACTGTAACAATATCTTTCCACTAAATGTGATCATAGATGTCCCCAATGACATATTTAACAATATCCTTAAGCTCTGAATGGATATCTTAGCATTTTAAAAATTATTTTGATCACTGTTATATATGAATCAAGTATCTGAATTTTTATATCATCTTTCCATCACTGAAGAACTCAGTGACTTTCTAGGAAAATTTAACAAATGTTCTAATATTTAAAATACACAGTGCTAAAAGGTGAGGCACAAGCTACCAGGAAATCTAAGGATATGCAAGTGGAATTTAGACTAAATCAACAGTGTTGTGATTAGGGGAGCACTAGCTACATTCAAGATGTAATGACATAGAACTACTCCCTTAAAACGATCAAGTCACATGGCTAATAATCATGAAATAATGGCAGAAGGGGGCCCGGGAAGATGGCTTATCACGTAAAGGAATTGCTGCCAAGAATGACAATCTGAGCTTGATCTTTAGAGCCGTGCGGTGAAAGGAGAGAGCTGACTCTTGCAAGATGTCCTCTGACACTGCGCATGTACTGTAGCTCCTGCCTTTCTCAAAGGAATAACAAACAAATAATAAAGTGAAAATATTTCAAATGCTTACAAAAACACACCATAGGATGAGTACAAAGTGAAATTGCACAATTCCATCCTTCTAATATCGTTTACAAGTTTAGAACACAGGAAATGAAGGAATGGAAAATCTTTCAATTTCATTACTTAAAATATTGTAATTAATATTTCTAGAATATTTATGCTTTAAGAAACTTCTTTTTACTCATTTTAATTCTAGCATACATATATTGGGGTATTTGACCAAGTGAACTCTAAGTTACATCTAGATTTATAATTTTTATTTTTCAGCAATATATTTAGAGGCCATGCTATATGCGTCTATCACATGTCAAGTATCCGAGAAGCCTTTAATGGTCCATATGCACATAAGGAAGGCCCTGAATATCACTGGTCACTCTATGAAGGAAAAGTACCTTACCCGAGGCCTGGTTCTGTAAGTGTAGTCATTCGACATACTGCTCTTATGTTTGAAGTCTTCCTTTCACATGTTCTATCTTACTTTGCAGCTAAAGTATAAACATATAAAGTATAAACCTATAAGAATGTTCCAACAACAGTCAAGAGAAAACAGTGTCATGTTCAGTTTTCTGCTAGTTATTTAATGCAAAGACATTGTGATTGAACCCATCTTAGCAGCATTACAAAGTGTGTCCTCACTGATAGTCCAGACAAGTAGCTCTAACTGGACTTTCTGTTTTAGGGGTGCTGTTAAGCATATAAATATTTAATAAAATAGGCATATTATAGTTCTCTTCCAGCCTTGTTAGGAGAATTAGTATCATATGTCACTTTTAAACAATAAAATCCTGTTCCATGTTACTATTTTAATATCTGTGTTCACTTCTGTGTTTCCCAGGACAGACCTTCTCTCAACTTGTTCCATTAGCAGAGTAAAGGAAATTCTATCATTTGCTCTGAAATGTTACTGCCAAAACTCTAACTAGCTATATCAACTTCTATGCTTTTGATTGGGACATGTCTAAAACTAACAACAATGAAGATGTAGGTTTAGATTATGGGTCCCTTATGCAACTAGGTTGGAGTAGGTCGTATACACCATTGTGTGTTTCATGTGAGTCATAGTGTACATACATTTTACTTGTCAATGAGGTCCATATCTTCTCTTTACCAAGCATCTGGTGAGATGGCGAGCCTACACTGATTATCACACAGTCACAGAGAAACCATTTTTGTAGAGCTAAATTTCCAAATGAAAGCAAACCTCACCTCCAAGTATAAAGCTTTATCATGATAATCGCTCTCACTGGCTTAAAATGACTACTTTCAGTAAGTCATAAAATATATTTTACTTCACTCTATTGCTTGAAATTGCAACTTAAATGGGAAAATCCACTCCTGTGGCTTAGTTGAAAATGCTTCTTGAAACCACATGGCCTTAGAGGAGGTCGGAGGAAGTGACTGGTTGTTGGACTTCTTCCAAGGTAGTCAAAATGTTTCCAATAACGTGTTGTGCAAGTGCACAATTCATGCCAAGTTAGGCATGGGGGGTGATTTTAAAACACAAACAATTATAAATGCCCTCTTTATATAACCTGGCTACTTAACTACTGCATTTATACTTTAAATTTAAAAAAAATCCAGATATTGTTACAGCTGATGTTGGTTCTGGGGGACATGTGTGACAGTGAGAAGCAGTTGCTAGAAAGCAAACATCAGAGTGAGTATCCCGGGCAGTGTGTGTCAGGGTGTTCCACAGTTGTGCATTTTAGCATCAGTGTCTTCAGAATAGCTACCTATAAGAGCGAGTCTCTAGTTTTTCATTTTGCTAATTTCTGATATATATGAACTAATCCACATTTTTTCAGGTTACATCAGGACAACACAAAGAGGTTTTGACATCTCCTTAATTAGCGATGATGGAATTTGAATAACTATCTACACTGTAATGCTAGAATTAATCAGCAAGAAAGCAGAAACATCACCACTCAACATGATTTCAATAATGAGAAATCTATTTTGTATAATTGTAGTCAATTTACGTATGTATTTATTTTAAAGGAAAGTCCCACTTAGTAGCTCAGGCTGTCTTCAGACATGGTTTCCTCCACCCCTCACCTCTCCAGTGCTCATGTATTCCTCATGAGGCTGTGATCCTAAACTAGAGATTTATTACTAAAAGGCATGTGTTGTTCTGATGAATGGTAGATCCTTCCTTGTTTCCTTTCTCTCTTTTGTGTTTTATTTCCTTTTCTTTCCATCTCTTCCCTTTCCATTCTTTTTTCATTGAACAGATTGAATCCAGGGTTTCATGTATGCTAGGCAAGCTCTCTATCACTAAACTATGTCAACAGCAAATAGTAGATTCTTCAGTTTGAAATTTTATTTCAATAGGAAACAAAATTCAAAACCATGGAAAATATTTCAGCCATTCATATTGTTAAACATTTATTTGTAGTCCCCAAGTTATCCTGTATAGTATATATTTTCAGTTTTCTGGATTTCCGTATTCTCTGTGTATTTTCAATGTTGCATTTTATAATATAAATTAGTTTTCTTTTGAAATATTTAATACTGAATCCATTCCGGCAACAGAAGATGCGGAGTTACTATATACTACTGAATGCACAGTTCATTGCTTGTGCTTATTTGACTTTTGTAATTCTTCTTGTTAGTGGTCATAGGGTTGCTCTTCGGGTTCAAAAGAAAAAGAGTGAACTAACCCACTTGCATTTCAGTGTGCCAGCAAGGTGAATGGAGGGAAGTATGGAACCACCAAAGACTATCCTGACGATGCCATTCGATTTGCAAGAACCCATCCACTAATGTACCAGCCCATAAAGCCTGCTCATAAAAAACCAATACTAGTGAAAACGGATGGAAAATACAACCTGAAGCAACTAGCAGTGGATCGCGTGGAAGCCGAGGATGGCCAGTATGATGTTTTATTCATTGGGACAGGTAAGGACACAAGACAGCCTTGATATGTTTCAGCTTCACCCTCAGATAACTTCTACCAACCAGCACATCCCATGTTGTTGCCCTAGCCCGTCTCAAAGATAAAATGACCAAATGAATTTATAGCTTCAATTAATGCTACCGCATTAAGTCTTATATGGGAAGAAACTTGCTAATTGTTGAGCACCCAGCGTTATGAAGAACAAAGTCTGTGTGATGATGCTTCAGCTTAAAATCCCCTTCTCTGGCCGGGCCTTGGTAGCGCACACCTTTAACCCTAGCACTCGGCAGGCAGAGACAGGCAGATCTCTGTGAGTTTGAGGCCAGCCTGGTCTACAAGAGCTCGTTCCAGGACAGGCTCCAAAGTCACAGAGGAACCCTGTCTCGAAAAACAAAAACAAACAAACAAACAAGCAAATCCCCTTCTCCAGGTACAGCGCAGTCCTGGCGGCACAATGATCTTACAAAGCATTCTTAAATTCTTCCTTATGGAGTTTCAAAGGCAACATTGCCAGGAAGAGGGTGTATTGCTAAGACCTGCTCATGCTTCTCCATTCTTCTGCTTTTTTTTTTTTTCTGAAAATGTTAAGCAAAGAAACGATAACTTAACATAGGACCCACAGCACAGCCTGCATTTTATCACTGTTGATAAAGTTAATAATGTGCTCTATGAGTTCATTATTCTATAAGAATCAGAGCTCTGTAAGAAACCTAAAATTACCTTATCACTAGTTCATACACAGTGATCTCTGACCATTAAGGAAAAAAAATGGAATTTCCAAAAACAAGGCTAAAATGTGATTAAAATGGTTAAGGTAGTTTTATTCATTTTTGTTAATAGAAAATAAAGGTGATTGCTATTCGGTTAATTATAATCTAGTCTTATTAACTCATATATAAGATTTGATAATTCCTGATAAATTGCTCAGATCTCAGAAAAGTTCATGGATTAATGCTTCTGAAGGTCTAATATGTTTTATGAAATATTATTTTTACTCATATCAAGTTTTGTGTTGGTGTAAGTTAATTTCTTGTTCAAATTATATGCAGATAGAACAAACCCAGAATATCAGGGATAATGAAACACAAAGTGGGAATCTAAACTAGAAGTACAGTTTTATAAAGCAATAGCAGTTATGGAAGCTGAGTATCTAGTAACCTCTGTTCGCCTGCCCTTAATGGGGTAGACTTGGCTGCAGCAAGCCTTGGTGTCATTCTGTCTTTGCATGCAGTGTGCAAGGCTCCCTGATGCTGCTGTGTCCAGGTTGTTACAAGACTGCTGCAGCTGAGCCCATATCCCCATGGTTACATGGCAAACAGTTTCCACCTGGAGCAATCTCCCCAGCCCATTCTCCAAATTTCAATATGAATGTATCAATTCTACATTCAATGATGTAGCTAATCTTGCTTAAGTTAAAAATCAAGAGAAAGCAATCTAGGGCAGTGGTTCTTGACCTCCCTAATGATGTGACATGTTGTGATGACCCCCTCAACCAAAAAATTATTTTGTTGCTACTTCATAAATGTAATTTTGCTAGTTATGAGTCATAACATAAATATCTGATATGCTGGATATATGATATGTGACCACAGTGGGATTCTGATCCATAGGTTGAAATACTCTGATCTAAAAGAACAAATTATACCAGAGAAACTAAAAAATATCTTTTAGGGCCTATGTTAAGATATATTGACCCCCAAACCAGATATTTGAAAAAGTATAGTGATTGTGATACAATCCACTGGTAGGGGTTTTGAATAGAATATGCTAGACCCTGTGTTCAACACAATAATAGAGATACAAGACAGCAATTTGTGACTTTTGTGGCTAAAATTATATCACAGTTCTGACACTGCTTGAGGCTTAGGCAGAGTTATCTTCTTGCCTGATGCATCACAAAAGGAACGTCTAAAATATGGCAGTTTGATTTCTGAATCTATGATTTCATTTTTGTATTGACCAAAACTGTTTGAAAGGTAATCTGTATATCATTTAAAATTTTGGATAGCATGCAAAATAGATATTTGCTGGTGTATAAGTAGTCATGTGATCTTTAGCTGGCAGTGATTGGGTGTTTTGTGTGTCATAGTTTCAGTCGCATTTGAAGTCTGGGTCCTCACTCCACTTTGATTATTACCTGTTTTATTATTTTTCACAGATACAGGAATTGTACTGAAAGTAATCACAATTTACAACCAAGAAACGGAGTGGATGGAGGAAGTCATTTTAGAGGAACTACAGATATTCAAGGTAATTTCATGAATGGCACAGCCCAGATATACATACCGAAGACAATCAAAGGTAGAGATAAGGAGAAAAAATATTATATTAGTTTCAGGACCACCCCCCAGGTGAGTTTTAAATCAAGAGAATATAGAAGTGAAGAATAATTTTAAATCTACTGATTCTTTCTCATGATCAGCATCTTCAAAAGCACCAATATGCTTGTAATAGAAGAAAATATACAACCGTAGTCAAAAAGAAACAGCACTTCTCTCACACATGAATTCCAGAAAAACTGAGGAAGACTCATGTCTTGCACAAACACTACTAACACTGGCATCAGGTGACACATCGCAAATAGTGTACATTGTGACCACAGAGTCACACTACATTGAACTATAACATATTAATTACACAAAGAAGTGAAAAAGAAAAAGAAAAATAGAAAATAATATGTAAAACATGAGCTAAAACAAATTTATGAAAATAATGCATTTGTATACATGTATCTATAACCTAATGAGTAAATACATTGTTAATAAGGTCTTATTAGTGGACCACATTTAATCCCATTCCTCAATCTTGACTCATATTTCTGCCTACGAGGATCCTGCAAACCTCTGATCACAATATTTTCATCTGAACAATTCCCAGCCTTACTTTGTGTGTGTTTCTGTTTAAAGCATCTTAGTCTCTGTCACTGATGACACATTGCTGAGCTCACTGTCAATATCATTGTAACTCATACCTGAGCGGACCTCAAGTCTTACATAGCTCTATACCTTTGGATGCACCACAGCTGTTTTGCGTTTTGGAAACACTTCATAGCACATCATCACCATGATGTGTGAGAACACATGTTAAGCTCAGCACTGTGCTGGAACACATGTTAAGCTTAGCACCATGCTGGAACACATGGGAAACTCATCACCATGCTGGAACATGTTAAGCACTGAAAGCTTATCAATGGAATGAAGCAAAGTGGTTCTAAATAGTCCATGATGTACATCTATTTAAACCTCAAGACTGGAGGGTTTGGAGAGTCACCATGGTGACCTAGCTAGGGGTGTGTACATTCCACACTTCAGTTTCTTTGTTGCTCTCTTCCTGTGGTTTTGTGAAAAAGAAAGGCATACACTTCAGGTATTAATATTAGGATTACAAATCTAGTTTAGCAAGTAGACATTTTTGCGAACCGGAATGTACAAATGACTTGACTGATCATATATATGAACATAATGGATTTCAGTGGAAAGAATGGTAAATGGAGAATGAGACATTTGTCTTTGCTATCCTTAATGAGAGTGGATTTCTCTAGCGCTGCTCTCTGAGAAAACCTCCCTTCTCACTTGCTATTTTGCACTGTAGGCCGCTGTGTAATATTTAACTTAACATTTTGGATAATAGCTCTCATTATCAGTACCTACCAGTGTGTCTTTCCACATTAACTCTTTAGGAGCATTGCTACCTGAATGAATAAATGAATAACACTCTCATATACAGAGAGAGACAAAAACTCACACAAAATAAATAATAAATAAACACATACATAATACATACATACAGAACACATATATAAGACAAAAACAAGATTTAAAAAAAATCTGGTAAGATGAGAGAGATGGCTCAGCCAAGAAAGTAGCTTTGTAAGGAGTACGGTTTTTCCTGCCCGCCGCGTGGTCTTGTCTTGCTGCCACGCCAGCCCCAAATAACACACAGAGACTCTGTATTTTATACAATTCTGTTGGCCTGTTACTAGTTTCTTATTGACTAGCTCTGTCTTAAGTATTAACCTATTTCTATGTATTTCCACGTGGTCTTACCAGCGAGAGGCGGCTGGCGGTTCTGCCTTCTCCAGACTCTCCATCTTGGCTCCTCCTTACTACTTCCTCTTTCTTCCTTGTCTCCTAGTCCCGCCTATCTTGCTTTCCTATTGGCCAACAGTACTTTATTCATCAAACAGTATGAGAAACATATACAGAATGACATCTTCCATCAGTAGCTTGCTGCCAAGACAATGTCCCGAGTTTGATCCCAGGTTATGCACACCATAGGAGGAAAGCACAGATTCCTGGAGGAGTTCCTGCACCCCCTCATATTCATTACACCACAAGGACACATGCTCAACAAATAAATCTGAAAAATAATTTAAAAACTGTTATAATGACCAATTATTTTTCTCTCATAAAATAATCCCTCAAAGAGTAGCTATTCCCTGAAAGATCTCCCTCTGTCTGGTATTTCTCTGCTTAGAGGGTTAGTTAGAAGGGTGTGTGTGTGTGTGTGTGTGTGTGTGTTTGTGTTTACTAAAGAGGCTCAGCTATTCAACAGCATTGTTAACCTAACCTGAAGGCTCCTGATGCTGTACCATATATTGCCTGTATTGTCATTCCTCTACTATAACCCTGAGAAAATGAGGTTTTTAAATATTGGGCATACATTGTATAGTAATTCACTATGACCATTCCAATAGAGACATGCTTCATGCAGGCTTGAGTTGGAATAATTAAAAACCATTAAGTTTAGTAGGAGTAACAAATATTCTAGAATGTAGTTAGTTTACTTCTAATGGTTTAAATACTTCAGTAAAAATTCTACTGTATAATTTTAAAGCTACAAGAGTTTGTGAATCACAAACACTATTCAAAGCCATTACTATTTATTCCAGAAACAAATAGTCCAAATGAGTCATCCATTGTCCCTCATGTATAGATGTTCTTCTCCATTAAAAAAAAATTAAAGTGTTTCAATTGAATTGGATTTACATGTTGGTTTACTAAAGCAAATGATATAGGCTGTAAGCACAGAGCCACTCATAACTATTTTGAGTTCTTGTTAAGCAGCTATTTCTGTATCTACTAAAAAGAAAACATTTTGGTTCGTTTCAGGACCCAGTTCCTATCATTTCTATGGAAATCTCTTCAAAGAGGGTAAGTTGCTTGTTTGACTGAGTCTTTTCTGTTATTCAGTTAAAACCAAATCATTCAAGGATGTTAGCACGTGGTTTATAGTTGAAAAGCTGGTTGTCCACTATTTTATGTTAGCGCTGTAGGAACACAGGTGCCTTCTTAGTGAAGTCTGCATATTCGCCTTTGCTAACATCCTCTTGCTTCCTGCAGCAACAGCTCTACATCGGATCGCCCTCTGCAGTGGCGCAGGTCAGATTCCATCACTGCGACATGTACGGTAGTGCTTGTGCTGACTGCTGTCTGGCTCGAGACCCTTACTGTGCCTGGGATGGCATATCCTGCTCCAGGTACTACCCAACAGGTGCACATGCAAAGAGGTAAGCCATCAGACTCAGTGGAAAGTTAGAGAAACTATCACTTTGGGGAACATTCCCCCCCTTTGTGCCTATTAATGTAAATAAGCTGTTTTAGCTAAACAAATTACCCTAGCCCTATTCTGATCATAAATATAAGCATTCACAACTTGCAATGTGTCTGCAAATACCTTTGATGTGCTATCACGTGCACTGACGAGAGCTCAGCACCCCGTTTTGGACTTTTACTTTTTACCTCACTTTGCATTAAATTTTTGCCTCCTTTAATTTTTTTTCCTGAAAGACATAATTAAGTTCAGATAAACTTAAAACATGGAAATGGCAAGCCACCACACTCTGGGGATTCAGAGACTGAAAAAGAAAATAAATAAATAAATCCTAGAACACATCCTGCAGTTTCCCACGTCCTCTCCAGCAGCTGGCCTTCATTTATGTCATTTTCAAAGTGAATATTTTAAGTGCTAGGCAAATGCATGACCTGGGTAATTAATGAAATGTGTGGCTTAATTCAACACAAATGAAAGGTACAAAGAGACCCCTGAACTCTAATGTCTATAGCTTTATGAAATCATTGCCATTTGCACGAGAAAGTAAACCCAAGCTATCTTTATACAGGAGTTTAGGGTCACAAAGCACTTTGAAGGCTATTTTCCCATTGAAGCTTTGTGAGGCTGTGTACATTTCAGGAAAATAAGTAAGAAAAAATTCTTATATAATAAGCAAGGGGGTTTCTTACAAGGAATACATAAAGCAATACACAGAACTATCTAAAATCCATCAGAAAAGGTATTTATATGAATTCCAATGATTGCAATTTAATTTGGGGTTATTTTTTCCAAAATACATTTTTAATCAAATTGAATCTAAGTCAGTATAATGATTCTTTTAGGATCACACACACACACAAATCTCTGTCTCACACTCAAGCACACAAACACAAAAGGCTTCATTAATTCAAACCTTATTAATTTGACTCTAGCAAATTAACATTCTAAGAAAGATTTACAGACTGGATATAACAAGGCAAAGATGACGTGAGTCTTTCAGAGAATTGTGAGCAAAATAATTTACTAATTGAGCTGAACAAATGGGCAAATCATTTCATTCTTCTACAAATGCTTACTGGTATCCAAACCCATTCTTGAGGCATATAACTGCAGTTATTTAAGTACTGAGGGATGTTTGCTCACCTACACACACTCTCCAGGCTTGGGCCATGGAGACCTGTGTCTACAGGAAAACAAAGCCTCGGATGGAGAGTGAAACTGCAAACAGTGCTGGTGTTTGCTCAGCTCTGAGCATTTTAGGTACTTGACCAAGTGCAGGATACGTAATGCTCCTCTTGATCCTCTACAGCTGAGCGTCACTTTACAACAAAGTCCAGGGAGGCTCCAGTTAAGGTGATTAACTATGCAAAGGCATAGATAGAGTGTTCAGAAGGAGCCCAGTCAGTCACTGACTCAGGAGTGAATGCAAGAACAGAGCCCATAGAAGGGATTGTTTTAAAGATGCAATACCAGAGCCTTAAGTTTTTCCTTAAATTTAGTTTAACTGACGCAAAATGTAGATGTTTATGAGCTATAATAAGATGTACACACACACACATCTACATACTATCTAGCAAATAAATCAAGGAAAAATACCTGCCTCACCAAAGATTTATTCTCTCTTTAAACTTTTGAAATCAAGGTGTACATCTATAGACAAAGACCATCAAATGTTTCTCCACACTCCTTTATCGCACCTATTTTACAAATGTGATAAGGCTTATTGATGTATTGTCATTGACAATTATAAAAAAGTTTACAAATTTTGCAACAAATGCTTATGAGTTGTGTGATTTTATACATTACTAGGCAATTTTCAGAGCTAATATGTCTTCATTTTGTGTGCATCTTTTAAAAGTATGCAATCACAAAGTTGATAATATTTTTTAAAAAAAAAATAGGTTAAAAAGAGTAATTTAGAAAAAGAGATAAATGTAAAAATAGCAAGCAGTAAGGGATGAGATGCCAAAGTCTGAAGCCATGCTTATAAATGAATTAACTCAGGTCAGGATCCTAGAGATCTTTAACAGTGTCAGATTCTTTTCCTTCATTACCACCCCTGAAGGAGAAGCTTTGGAGTATGTGTCAGCAAATGGAGAGAAAATAGTTTGCTTTTATAGGAATTATTTCTGCTTCGGCCCTGTAAATGGGAGAAAAAAAAACATCATTTACATAAATTTTCTTTACACTTGTAGACTGAAAATGAGTCAATAGGGGAAAGACTAATTCACATTCTGGCCATGTCTTTAAAATGGCCCTCCAAAATCCACTATAATCGGTGAGCTGGCTCCCCTCCTGGCTCTCCTTGTCTATTTCTAGGATCCTCTTTACAAGCTTCTAAGAAGTAAGGAATATAAGAAGGATATTCAGCCTTCAAGAGTGCAAGACATCCTTGATCAAGTGTCCTTGCCCTGATCATAACACGAGTTTTATTTACCGTGGGCGTGAAGGACAATGATACTACAGCGGGAACCAAAAGCTTGTTGGAAGATGTAATGTTTCCGTAAATGCATGTTTTGAATTATTTTGAACAAAATTTTAAATTGTTTATATTCCATTCCACCTACTTATATAGAATGATCTAGGGTGTTGTTTCTAATACCCTCATATGGCTAGTACAATTATCCCAATGACATGCCAACTGTTTCCTCCCTCGCTCTTTTTTGACCCCTGCTTCATCAATCACCATTGTCCAGCAGACTTAGGGTGTTAAACGGAAGCCATGCTCATCATATGGTGGAATCCACATGGCAGTTGAAGTGACTCCTTGGCCTCTATCCATTGCTACTAGCTGTGCACATTAGTATAAACAAAGCCTAAAACTTCCCACCTTTGCATTTAGGATCAGTTTTGTTCAATCTAGCTCAGAGCAAGGATTCACATGGAAGTTCAACTATAATTTTGTCAAATTCTGCATCTTTGGTAAGGATTTTTAATTGTCAATCCATTTAAAACAAAGCATAGTAAGTATTCTCCTGTATATAGTATACAACCCCAAAATTTGATTGATAGTATCTTCCACTCTTGATTTTCCTGTGTGAGAAAAACTCTTACCCCTCACTGACATTCAAGACTGAAGGGACTTAAGAAGTGTAACAATGAAAACTCCAGACTTTAGTAAGTTAAAATGTTAGGATTCATATATCTTTTCCTCTTTGCACTTCATTATGTGTAGGGGTTTTATTATGTTTTCTACTCAAATAAATATTCCCGATGTTCTTAACTGTGCACACCACTTGTCATCCCTTTACATACTAGAAGTTTCTGGGTGAACTAAATGTGTAACAAACTGTAAATAAAATTTCATTAGATTGCCACTTGAGGATCTGGAATTTAAGCTTACATAAACATTTAATGAGTAGCGTGATATAGATCCGTTAACCATTGAAAATACTCCCTGGAAATAACAAAAGGATAAAGCTTGGATTTCATGCTACTTTTAAATAACAATTAATGTTTTTCCAACAACAGACTTCTCCTTGTAATTGGCTGTATTTTAAAGTCCAGGAAATTGAAGTCTCAGAATCTCCTGCATTTTCTTTCTTCCAGGCGATTCCGCAGGCAGGATGTTCGGCATGGCAACGCTGCCCAGCAGTGCTTTGGACAACAGTTTGTTGGTAATCCTTAGGAAAATCGATTGTTGATTTACCTATTGTATGCTGAAGATGGACTGCACATTTCTTTAACTGAGTCACCTTCCTGGAACACTGTCCTTGATGTATTTGTTTTTCTCCCATATATTTAAAATCAGATGTATGGTAATTGACAGAACAAGCAAAATTGGCTATAGATACCACCACTAACACAATCTGATCTTAGACATAAAGCCAAGGAAGTTTAGGGGTAAAAAGCAATATATTACCAGTGGTAGTGGTATTGACGCCCAGGACCTACCACTTCATCACATTTTTTTTTTCCTTGTCCTTATTTTTTGTTTTTTGAGACAGAGTTTCTCTATGTAGCCTTGGCTGTCCTAGAACTAACTCCCTCTGTAGATCAGGCTGACCTTGAACTCACAGAGAACCTCATGACTCTGCTTCCAGAGTGCTGGGATTAAAGGCATGTGTCACTACTGCCTGTCTCAAATTTATTTTTTACTATGTATGATGTAACTCATAGCATCTCACCTACTAAGGTTCACAACAAATGAAAGTGGTTTCCTCTTCTGCTACAGCAGAATAATTTTAGAACTGATATTAGTTATCTTCAGATTGAGACAAAAACAAGACAATCAAACAAAAACAGGAAAAAAATGATCTTTTGGGTCACATCACTGCCATGGGCGATTACAAAGCTACATTTTGTTATTGGAATTCACGAAGCAGAATGATGGGCACCATCATGGTGAGTCAATGGAGGTTATGCCTACTGTTAGAACTTGTAGCCCAGAGTGGGTTTTGTTTTTTAAGATCTAAGCAAACTTATATTTAGGGCAGGGAACCCAGCTACAAGGAGTATAACAAGAGAAAGAATGATTTAACCTTAGCAAGTTTTCAAAGCTGGGGGAAGATCCTGGTAAAAAACAGATGAACCCTTCTATGAATGTTGGGTGCTTGTGCCTTGCCCCTGTTGTATCAGAGAATATTGCCACTGGTTTTGTCACTTTCGTTACTGCTTGTATTTTGGAGCCAGGTTCCCAGATACTGCCTTCCATCCCACTTTATCGTCTACTCGCCCAGGTTTCACAGGGCATTCCAAATAATTCATTTAAACGGGCCAGGCCTTGGTGGCACACGTCTTTAATCCCAGCACTCAGGAGGCAGAGGCAGGCAGATCTCTGTGAGTTTGAGACCAGCCTGGTCTACAGGAGCTAGTTCCAGGATAGGCTCCAAAACCACACAGAGACCCTGTCTCAAAAAAAACCATAAATAAATAAATAAATAAATAAATAAATAAATAGTCCACTTAATGACTTAGCAACCAGGAAAGAGTTATTTTCCTTGCTGCCAGACGTGAATACAGTTAAAAAAGAAAGAAAGAAAGAAAGAAAGAAAGAAAGCAAGCAAGAAAGAGAGAAAGCAAGCAAGAAAGAAAGAAACATTTAGCAGTAAAATTCCAATCTTGAAGCTGATGCTGCTGTCTCTCTGCTGTAGGAGACGCTTTGGACAGGACTGAAGAGAGGTTGGCTTACGGCATAGAGGCCAACAGTACTCTGTTGGAATGCACCCCGCGATCCTTACAGGCAAAAGTCATCTGGTTTGTTCAGAAAGGACGTGAAGCAAGAAAAGAAGAGGTAACTCATGGCTACACATTTACACTTGGTGTCTTACCTAGAGCAGAAAATAGGTGAATCGAGTGTCTTCAATGAAGCCACGCTCAGCTACATGTTGTACAATTTCTAGAACATAAAACACCCAAACATGATGGTGTGGACTTGAAATCCCAATGCTGGGGAAGGGGAGGCTGGTAAATATCTGGAGCTTAGGATCCAGCTAGCCCCACCTGCTAGCCAATCTCTAGGCCAATGAAGGTACCTGCCCTACATGAATAGTTTCTGAGACACCAAGGTTGTCTTCCACCCTACGAATGTACTGGTTCCTATGTGCCTGTTGACACACACACTCACCTAATTTCTTAAAAGTCAATTTTCTTGTCTAAGTATGCTTTATCTACATATGAAGTTTTACAATATGAACATATTTATAAATCTATTGTCTACATTTCAGAGGGCTTATTTTACATAAACATATGAATTGATACTTTGAATTATGGAAATTGATAGTTCATGTATTTCTTGCTGAAAATACTCATACCTTCATGACATATGTCATGGCAAAAATCTTAAACCACATCTGCCGAGGTAGCATTACTGAGAAACAGCAAAGTTATTAACAAATAAGAATAACAGTGGCACCAATATTAATAAAGCTGCAAATCAAATACAAGACACTGACATAGGGTTCTAATCCGATGGGAATAAAGGCAAGTCTCGATACTCTCCCCATTTTGAGTAGCTTTGGAGATTGTTTTTCTGAAGTCACTTAAGGATTAGGGGCAATGGCTTTGCTGTTTTGAGAAAGAGGGAGAGGGGCCGCATTGGAGCACATTTGGAATGGCCTGGCATGTGGTGATATATTATTTATGATTTATTAAAACTTGCCTGAGGATTCAGGAAGCAAAGCTATAGAGACCAGGCAGTGGTGGTGCACACCTTTAATCCCAGGACTCAGGAGACAAAGGCAGAGGGATCTCTGGGAGTTCAAGGCCACCCAGAGTTACTAGAGATTGAATCAGTCTAAAAGAGTAACCAAGCTCACACCTTTAATCCCAGCACTAGAGAGGTAAAAAAAGACGGGAGCAGGGGCTTCAATTGTCAGTCTTGGGATTTTCCAGCCACGTTGAAGAGAGCATAGCAGTGTGGGTTTGCAGTCTGAGGTTTGGTGGAGCCAGGAGCACCTTTCAATCTGAGGTAGAGTAAGAGCTGGAGGCCGGCTTCTTTCCTTTTCCTATCTTTAGCTTGAAGCTTGGACCCCAATATCTGTCTGTGGGTCATTTATTTATAGAGCTACACTGGAGGCCATTATAAGAATGGGAAGGAGATGAGGACACAGGCTTTAGTAAGGGAGACCTCGGATACATATTAAAAGATTGCAATTTTATTTTTACAAGTGGAAATACGAAGTAACAAGAACATATTCATAGCAGTGGGAAGATCTTAGTGATTATAGTACAGATGGCCTTTGCTAAAATGGGAAGTTTTCAAGTTGGGTGAGTGACTGATGCCTATAGCTCCACCCTGTACCCAGAGAGATGGAAGGGTGTGTCTGTTAGATGATCAGTAGACATGACTGCTTCATTTTGTCAGTGGAGATTGAATCTGTGCCTGAATTTGAAATTAACAGTTTCCCTCAAAATATTTCTTTTTAGACTTTGGTGAAACTAAAAATATGACATGTTTAGCCTGTAGTCACATAGCACACTGAGAGATGATGAAAAGTATGGATCCTGGGCCCTTGAATGTAACAAATTAGAATTAGACAAGAAAACCTGTACAAGCCAGTACAGTCCAACACTGGCAGTAGGAAGTGCACATAGAACTACTCCTAACCAAGGAGCTGATGACAATTTATAAATGCTGGCAAAGGGGAGATCAGTTTTCCTCAATGGTATGTCAGTAAGTATATCAACCTAGGCAGGCTGTCCAAGGGTAGCTGGCCAACACAAAAGCAAATCCAGGGTCCTTTTTGTTTTGTTTTGTTTAGCTTTTATGTTATGACTTGCTTTTTTGAAACAAAATTTCTCTGTGTAGTCCTGGCTGTCTAGGAACTCACTCTGTAGACCAGTCTGGCCTACAACTCAGATCCATCGGCCTCTGTCTCCTGAGTGATGGGATTAAAGGCACGCAGAACCACATCCAGCTTTGTTTAGGCATTATGCTTTGTTTTATTTAATTGGTTTTTAATTTTTTTGAGTGTTATTTCTGTTTTTTTTTGGGGGGTTGGGTTTTTTGTTTTTTGTTTTGAGAGAGGGAGAGCAAGAAAGAGAATAAGGAAGAGGGAGGGAGAGAGGGAGAAAATAAAGGAAAAGAGTTGGATGGTAGGGAGGTGGGGAAGACAAGGTTGAGAAGAAAAACATGGTCAAAATACATTATATGATAAAAATTTAAAACCAAAAAAAAAGAAGAAGAAAGAAAGAGGCTTAAACTGCTAGGGCTTAGGGACAACATGGAAGCTTATCAGGAAAGTAAAGCTTTCATGGCAACGTTACAGCACTTACACAGGCAAAGCTAATGCAGCGTACCACACTCAATTAAGCTGTTTATTTATTGCCTATGCATTTCCACCTCTCAACACTGAGATGAAGTGGCTTTTAAATTCCATTGTAACACATGGCAGGAGGGGACCTGGGAAGGGCCCACAGTTCCTGCAGTCAAAGGGCTTCAGGAGACAGAGGTAATTCTTTCACCAGTATGTTTCCTCAGTCAATGAGCTCTGCTTCTCATTCGGAACTCATTGCAACCGACCTCATTCAGAAGGCATTCCACTGTGGAGCCTCCCTCAATGTTCAGGTCTGAACTTCCGTCCCACCTTGCTGTGTCTGCCTACCTTCTTGCCAGCTGCATCCTAACTTCCCTGACAGACACAGCTAATGATATATGGAATTTTGTAATTACTCTTCTTATGAAAATCAAGGCACAGTTGGATAATTAATGGTTTCGATAGAGAGACAGCAATATATGTGTTTAATTATCCACGAGCTAAAATAAAACAAAATTGCTGACTTTATCAGAGGCCAAATGTATACATTCTCTACCAAAAGTAGAATGACTTAGGAAGTTCTGAGTTCTATTAGCAATCATTTTACACTCATTTTCATTTCTATGTCTCATTTACTTTGAGACATATAGTAATCATATTGCCACATGTAGACCATATTGAAGGGTGCTTAATTCACTTACTAAATTCTTAGCTCCTTGGAGGTTGCTGTGCACAGTACACTAGGCAATAACAGTCAAGATTTAGTCCTCACTTGATAAACTGTGTCAGGTGATGGGGTACAAACCTTCCTCTTCTATTGAACTGAAATAAGTGATTTTAGGAATTCTGCCTTTTCCCGGTGTCTCTATATACCTGCTACTGAGTCTTGTGATGTTATCCACAAATGGCATGTTCATATATATAAAATTATCCTTCTGGATTGCCATGCAGCATCTAAAATCTCATTTATCTGCCTTCTAAACTCTGGGCACCATCCCTTCTCTCAACTAGACATCTTAGAGTTTCCTGTTTCCTTAAATACACCATGTGGAACCAATTTCTACACATTTTATTAGATCTGTAAATATTTATTAAAATATGCTATTCTTTGTACTTCATAGAGCATTTTCCATTTTAATAGTTGCTATAAGCACATTAAATATTCAGTGAGTAAGTTAAATATATTGGTTGCTAAATGTAACAGTGTCATATATTAAGGACAGGAAACCCAGAGTTCTTGTGATAGAAGTTGTACCTTATTGTAGACCTACTGTGCACAGGACTATTCTAGGTGCCTTTCTAGTTATTTCTAGATCTCACAGATGAGTAGTGGATATGATTATTGTCTTTTTTACATACAGAAAGAAAAGTTGAAAGGGTTATAGCTCATACACATCTAGTGACATACCCAGTGTTTAAACTCAAGAATCTCTGACCCAATGTTAGTTTATAGCCATCTGTCGTCTCAGTATCGAGGTCTGTATAGTCTATTACAGCTATTCTGAAAACATAGTTTATAATCAAAGTAATTGAAACCCAGAATGTGCAATAACTCACACCTAATAAAATAAACTCAGAACCAGGTCTTCTTCTACTAGAGGTTCTGAGAAATGACAAAATCTTCTGAAATCAGAATATAAATACACTTTCAGATGCCTGGGGTAAAGAGCAAGGGAAGGCGGCTCATAACAAGAGTTCAGGCTATTGATGTCTGTCAGTGTAAATCCCTATGAACACTTATGTGGGCTGGTTCAGCTTCAGTAACAAAGCCATTATTCTTCATGTTTAAGTATCTAAGAGCCTTGTCCTAATTTGGTTTTCATTCGTGTGACTTCCAAGCTTCTTCTACTGTGTTGTCTTTAGACAAAGGGGATAGTGTGGTGATATATTGTTTATGATTTAATAAAGCTTGTCTGGGGATCAGAATCCAAAGCTAGCCACACTAGACCACTATAGAAGCTGGGCAGTGGTGACACATACCTTTAATCCCAGGACGCAGGAAACAGAAGCAGATGGATCTCAGTGAGTTCAAGACCACCCTGGGCTACAGGAGAGTGTATCAGTCAAAAAGAAAAACAGAGTTCATGCCTTTAATCCCAGCACTAGAGAGGTGTATAAGGAAGAAGCAAAGGGTCTCACGTGTGATTCAGTTTCTGGTCACAGGGAAGACAGGATCTCCATTTCAGCCTTGATAAAGGCAAGAGCTACTGGCTGGCTGCTTTGGTTCTCTGATCTTGAGGCAAACTTTATTGAATCATAAGCGATATATAGCCACAAGAGAGCTCCCGTGTTACCATAAAACTGGTGTATCCCCTGGGGCTGTGTGCTTTTCACTATCTGGACCACTTACTTCCATTAATACTTTTAGTGCCTGCAGTAGTCTTGAGCACAAGGACTTCGGAGTTACTCTGTTTTAAGTACAGTCTGGTACCAGTTGGGTAGAGGATGGGACAACAGACAGTGATGCCCCCCTTGCATAGCTTATCTCAACGAATAATGAGTAACTAGTGGGAGCTCAAGTTACAAACAAAGAAAA